TGCCCCAGCCCAGCACAGACCTATCCCACCCAGCTCTAGCCCAACCCAGCCCTACCCCAGCCCAGCCCTACCCCAGCCCAGCCCTACCCCAGCCCAGCCCTACACCAGCCCAGCCCTGCCCCAGCCCAGCCCATCTCTACCCCAGCCCAAACCCAGCCCAGCTCTACCCCAGCCCAGCTCTACCCCAGCCCAGCTCTACCCCAGCCCAGCTCTACCCCAGCCCAGCCCAGCTCTACCCCAGTCCAGCCCAGCTCTACCCCAGTCCAGTCCAGCTCTACCCCAGCCCAGCCCATCTCTACTCCAGCTCTACCCCAGCCCAGCTCTACCCCAGCCAGCTCTACCCCAGCCCAGCTCTACCCCAGCCCAGCTCTACCCCAGCCCAGCTCTACCCCAGCCCAGCTCTAGCCCAGCCCTACACCAGCCCAGCCCTGCCCCAGCACAGCCCATCTCTACCCCAGCCCAAACCCAGCCCAGCTCTACCCCAGACTAGCTCTACCCCAGCCCAGCTCTACCCGAGCCCAGCTCTACACCAGCCCAGCTCTTCTCCAGCCCAGCCCTACCCCAGCCCAGCCCGACCCCAGCCCATCTCTACTCCAACTCTACCCCAGCCCAGCTCTACCCCAGCCCAGCTCTACCCCAGCCCAGCTCTACCCCAGCCCAGCTCTACCCAGCCCAGCTCTACCCCAGCCCAGCTCTACCCCAGCCCAGCACAGTCCTACCCTACCCCAGCCCAGCCCGACCCCAGCCCATCTCTACCCCAGCCCAACCCAGCCCAACCCCAGCCCAGCTCTAGCCCAGCCCAGCTCTAGCCCAGCCCAGCATTACCCCAGCCCAGCCAAGTTCTACCCCAGCCCAGCTCCACCCCAGCCCAGCTCCACACCAGCCCAGCTCTAGCCCAGCCCAGCTCTAACCCAGTCCAGCCCAGCTCTACCCCAGCCCTGTCGAGCCCAGCTCTACCCCAGCCCTGTCCAGCCCAGCTCTACACCAGTCCAGCCCAGCTGTAGCCCAGTCCAGCCCAGCTCTACCCCAGCCCAGCCCTACACCAGCCCAGCCCTGCCCCAGCACAGCCCACCTCTACCTCAGCCCAAACCCAGCCCAGCTCTACCCCAGCCCAGCTCTACCCCAGCCCAGCCCAGCTCTACCCCAGCCCAGCCCAGCTCTACCCCCGTCCAGCCCAGCTCTACCCCAGCCCAGCTCTACTCCAGCCCAGCCCTACCCCAGCCCAGCCCTACCCCAGCCCAGCCCGACCCCAGCCCATCTCTACTCCAGCTCTACCCCAGCCCAGCTCTACCCCAGCCCAGCTCTACCCCAGCCCAGCTCTACCCCAGCCCAGCTCTACCCCAGCCCAGCTCTACCCCAGCCCAGCACAGTCCTACCCTACCCCAGCCCAGCCCGACCCCAGCCCATCTCTACCCCAGCCCAACCCCAGCCCAGATCTACCCCAGCCCAGCTCTAGCCCAGCCCAGCATTACCCCAGCCCAGCCAAGCTCTACCCCAGCCCAGCTCCACCCCAGCCCAGCTCCACTCTAGCCCAGCCCAGCTCTAACCCAGTCCAGCCCAGCTCTACCCCAGCCCTGTCCAGCCCAGCTCTACCCCAGCCCTGTCCAGCCCAGCTCTACACCAGTCCAGCCCAGCTGTAGCCCAGTCCAGCCCAGCTCTACCCCAGCCCAGCCCTACACCAGCCCAGCCCTGCCCCAGCACAGCCCATCTCTACCCCAGCCCAAACCCAGCCCAGCTCTACCCCAGCCCAGCTCTACCCCAGCCCAGCCCAGCTCTAACCCCATCCAGCCCAGCTCTACCCAGCCCAGCCCTACCCCAGCCCAGCCCTACCCCAGCCCAGCCCTACCCCAGCCCAGCCCTACCCCAGCCCAGCCCGACCCCAGCCCATCTCTACTCCAGCTCTACCCCAGCCCAGCTCTACCCCAGCCCAGCTCTACCCCAGCCCAGCTCTACCCCAGCCCAGCCCAGCTCTACCCCAGCCCAGCCCAGCTCTACCCCAGCCCAGCCCTACACCAGCCCAGCCCTGCCCCAGCACAGCCCATCTCTACCCCAGCCCAAACCCAGCCCAGCTCTACCCCAGACCAGCTCTACCCCAGCCCAGCTCTACCCGAGCCCAGCCCAGCTCTACCCCAGCCCAGCCCAGCTCTACCCCTGTCCAGCCCAGCTCTACCCCAGTCCAGCTCTACTCCAGCCCAGCACTACCCCAGCCCAGCCCGACCCCAGCCCATCTCTACTCCAGCTCTACCCCAGCCCAGCTCTACCCCAGCCCAGCTCTACCCCAGCCCAGCTCTACCCCAGCCCAGCTCTACCCCAGCCCAGCTTACCCCAGCCCAGCTCTACCCCAGCCCAGCACAGTCCTACCCTACCCCAGCCCAGCCCGACCCCAGCCCATCTCTACCCCAGCCCAACCCCAGCCCAGATCTACCCCAGCCCAGCTCTAGCCCAGCCCAGCATTACCCCAGCCCAGCCAAGCTCCACCCCAGCCCAGCTCCACCCCAGCCCAGTTCCACACCAGCCCAGCTCCACACCAGCCCAGCTCTAACCCAGTCCAGCCCAGCTCTACCCCAGCCCTGTCCAGCCCAGCTCTACCCCAGCCCTGTCCAGCTCAGCTCTACACCAGTCCAGCCCAGCTGTACCCCAGTCCAGCCCAGCTCTACCCCAGTCCAGCTTTACCCCAGCCCAGCTCTACCCGAGGCCAGCCCAGCACTACCCCAGCCCAGCTCTACCTCAGCCCAGCCCAGCTCTACTCCAGCCCAGCCCTACCCCCCAGCCCTACCCCAGCCCAGCCCTACCCCTGCCCAGCTCTACCCCAGCCCAGCCCCACTTCAGCCCAGCTCTACCCCAGCCCAGCTCTACCCCAGCCCAGCCCTACCCCAGCCCAACCCCCAGCTCAGCTCTACCCCAGCCCAGCTCTTCCCCAGCCCAGCTCTTCCCCAGCCCAGCTCTACCCCAGCCCAACCCAGCTCAACCCGAGCCCAGCTCTACACGAGCCCAGCTCTACCCCAGCCCAGCTATACCCCAGCCCATCTCTTCCCCAGCTCAGCCCAGCCCTACCCCAGCCCAGCTCTACCCCAGGCCAGCCCAGCTCTTCTCCAGTCCAGGCCAGCTCAACCACAGCCCAGCTCTACCCCAGTCCAGCCCAGCTCTACCCCAGCCCAGTCCAGCCCAGCTCTACCCCAGTCCAGCCCAGCTCTACCCCAGTCCTGTCCAGCTCCAACCCAGTCCAGCCCAGCTCTACCCCAGCCCAGCCCTACCCCAGCCCAGCCCTACCCCAGCCCAGTCCTACCCCAGCCCAGCTCTACCCCAGCCCAGCCCAAGTCAACCCCAGCCCAGCTCTAGCCCACCCCAGCCCCCAGCCCAACCCCACCCCCCAGCTCCAGCCCAGCTCAACCTCAGCCCAGCTCAACTCCAGCCCCAGCTCAGCCTAAATCGAGCTCAACCCCCGCCCCAGCTCAAGCCCCGCCCCAGCCCCAGCTCAGCCCCAGCTCAACCCCAGCCTCAGCTCAACCCCAGCCTCAGCTCAACTCCAGCCCCTGCTCAGCCCAAATCCAGCTCAACCCCAGCCCTTGCCCCCGGACAGCGCCAGTCTAGGCTAGGGTGCTGATTGGTGGGGGCAAGATGGTCTTTAATTAATGCACTAGACGGAAGGGAAAATGTTCTTTTTTAAAAAAAATGCACTGAATTGTTTTCAAATGGAAAGGATAAATCTTGCGTTAGAATCATAGACATTTACAGCAAGAGGGAGGCCATTGGGCACAGGGTCCGCCCGCCCTGGCTCTCAGAGTGAGCAGGCCAACATCCTTTGCCACTGCCTCGTCTTATCCTCACACCCCTTCAAGCCTCTATCCTTCATAGACCAGTCTGCTTCCTCTGGAAACCCACAATGGACTCTGCCTCCACCACTTTACCTGCCCGGGTATCGTACAGCCCAACAACTCTCTGAGTAAAACATTTCTCCCCAGCTCCCCTTTCTCTCTCTTGTCACAGTAAATCCTATGATTTATAACAATAAGAAGAAGAATCCTTGTGTATCATAGAATCACCGCACAGAAGGCGGCCCTTCTTACAGTTGCTTTTAGTCATTCTCAATCCCAGAGACCCTCCAACTGGCTCCGTCCCTCACCTCATTCAAACTCCCATCTCTTTCATTTTGCTTTCACTCATCTTTTCCCCCCTATATAAGTATACATTGGATCATCCAGTGGAGTTTGTCTCACTGTAAGAATGGCATTGAGTTTGTGTAGGATTGCTTGGAATTGTGTCAGTTTAACAGCTCGGCCTCCACAGTAAATACACCTCGTGTTCACTTGCACACCCTTGTAAATGATTATTTCATAACCATGATTAATAAACGGAAAACAGATTTCACATCACCAATGGATTCCATCTGAAAGGAATTTATTTTTGAAGAGCGAATGGTTTGTCATTGGATTAAATAATATCTCCTCCACAACACCCAGCACGCTGGATGAGGCATGCACCTTACCTTAAAATATATAGAAAAAAATCACCACTAGCTTTCTACTTAATAAAACAAAGATCTCCTGGTCAGTGTTAGCAAACAGCTGAACCCACCAGCTCCCTAAGGCAGGGACACTGCATGCCCAATCTGCCATTGGCTCTGCTTTGGCTAAGTCAGAGTCTGGGTTTCCAGTTAACAGGCACTTGCTGTTATTCTCTGTTTTGTTTTCCTCCCTTTTTCTCCCCAAACTGCTGACTCCTACTGGGATGTCATTCCATTGGTGAGCGACCCAGGAGACCATTGTGCCAAGTGTGAATGTAAACTGTGACCATCCCCGCCCCCATCCTCACCCCCATCCCCACCTCACTATGTGCACATTTGCTGCTTGTGTTTGCCTACAAAAAACTATAAAGTGCAGTCACTGTGTGCTTTGTAAACCAGAGCGGCACCGATCATCCTCCTGCGTGATGATGTGTGAATTGAGCGTGTTTAGTTGATGGTTACAGAGTCTCTGTTTTCTCTCTCTCTCCGCCCACAGCCGCAGTACACCACACTCGGGCTCCTGAACAGCATAGACCAGCAGATGCCGAATGGCTCTTCATCGACCAGCCCTTACAACGAGCACACTTCCAACAATGTGACAGCACCTTCACCATACGCACAACCCAGCTCAACCTTTGACACTCTGTCTCCTTCACCTGCCATCCCGTCAAACACAGACTACCCTGGGCCACATGGCTTTGATGTGTCCTTCCAGCAATCCAGCACTGCCAAGTCAGCTACGTGGACAGTAAGTAAACTCATGACTGCTCAGCGAGAGCTGTCACTGTGATTAGTGCACAAGAGCTGTCACTGATTAGTGCACATTGTGGGACACAGTTTTGACACGACAATCAGTTGACAAAGGAAACAGTCAAGTTTGGCTTTGTGAAGCTTTCAGGGTATTTGCTGAAGTGTTAGACTGGCTTGGGGAATCTTTGGAGATGTTGGATCAGCAGTGAGCGGAGACAGTGTGGGGTATGAGAGGACTGACAATTGCTGTTTGAGTGGATTTAAAAACCATTGGAAGAATTATATTGGCAGGCTTGTATTTATAGCTGATGCTGGCATACTGGTTTGAGATCACTAGACTGAAGCCAGCAGAGTCAGTATTGGGGTTACAGAGACTGTGGGATTTCCAGGTATTGAGTGATGCTCACTGACTGGAGACACCCACACACTGAGCCATTAGTTTCCAGATTACCTGACTAGCATTCCACCGTTTGAGGTGCTTTTGATTATTTATAATAATAATAATAAAAATCCTTTCATTCGATATATCGCCTTTCACATTCAGGAGGACGTCTCAAGGCTCTTCACTATAGATTAGTTGGGTTGAGTTAGTTGGGTTGGGCTAATTGAAGAGAGTTTGTTGAGCTAGTTGAGTGGAGCCCTCCATGGGCTGTGACCTCCTAAATCTCTACCAAATTGTCCGCTCCCTCCGCTCAGTGGGCTCTGGCCTGCTTCACTTCCCCTGCCTAACCCACTCTACCATTGGAGAACAGGCCTTCAGCTACTCTGCCCCCGCCATCTGGAACTCCATCCCACAGTGCCTACGCCTCGCCCACTCCATTGCCTCCTTCAATACCAGTCTCAAGACCGTCCTCTTTCACCGTGCCTTTGATCACCCTCTTTCTCCCACCATCCTCCACTCACTTGCCACCCTCCTCAATCTCGACACCCAGCTCGAGTCTGAAACAGATTGTCCAGCATCTTGGATGTTCTCCCAATGTGAGAGGCGCTATATAAATGTAATTTTGTTGTTAATTGGCACAGTTGGCTTGGCATAGTTGGGTGGGGGCAGTTGGGTTGGAGTAGTTGGAGCGTTGGGTTGGGTTAATAGTGTTGGGTTTGTTGGGTTGGGATAGTTGTGGTAGTTGGGTTAGTTGGCGTAGTTGGGTTGGGGTAGATGGGTTAGGTTGGTTGGGATAGTTGGGTTGGGGTTAGGTTGGTTGGTGTAGTTAGGTCGGGGTAGTTGGGTTGGAGTAGTTGGAGTAGTTGGGTTGGGTTAGTCGGAGTAATTGGGTTGCGGAAGTTGGGTTGGGGTAGTTGGGTTGGAGTAGATGGGGTAGTTGGGTTAGGTTAGTTGGGGTGGTTGGGTTAGTTGGGGTAGTTGAGTTGGGGTAGTTCAGTTAGGGTGGTTCGGTTGGGTTAGTTGGGGTAGGTGTGTAGGTTAGTTGGGTTGGGGTAGTTGGGTTAGAATATTGGGATAGTTGGAGTATTTGGGTTCAGTTAGTTTAGTTGGGTTGGGTTAGTTGGGGTAGTTCGGTTTGGTTAGTTGTGGTAGTTGGGTTAGTTGGGTTGGCTTAGTTAGGTGGTTGGTGCAGTTGGGTTGGGGTAGTTGGGTTAGTTGGCATAGTTGGGGTAGTTGGGTTGGGGTAGTTGGGTTAGTTGGCATTGTTGGCTTGGGGTTAGTTGGGTTGGGTTAGTTCGCATTGTTAAGGTAGTTGGGTTGGGATAGTTGGGTTGGGTTAGTTGGGTTAGAGCAGTTGAGTTGGGGTAGTTGGGTTGGGTTACTAGGTTTGGGGTAGTTTGGTTCCAGGCTCCTCTTCTCCATCATGAACCGACTCCTCTGCCCACCCTCTCACGCCTCACCCATCCTCACCTCAAATGCAAATTGCGAGGCCATGCTGGACTTCCTGGAATCCAAAGTCAAGGGAATCCACTCAGCTGCCTCTGCCACTGCAACTGCTACCCCCTCCCCATCTCCTCCTCCCACCCCAGCCCCTACCCATCCCTCCCTCCACACCTTTGAACCTGTCTCCCCCTCTCTCATCACCACCTGCTCGCTCGACCCCATTCCTACCCCTCTCCTTACCTCCCAGTTCCACCTCCTTGCCCCTCTACTCACTGACATCATTAACCTCTCCCTGTACGTTGATACTGTTCCCATCCCTTTAAAAAAACCCTGTCATCACTCCTATCCTTAAAAAACCCTCCCTGGACCCTTCTCTGCTCCCTAACTACCGCCCCAACCTCCCCTTCCTCTTCAAGGGTCTGGAACTAATTGTTGCTTCTCAGCTTCACTCCTTTCTCTCCTGTCACTCCCTTCTCGAACCCTCCAATTGAGTCTCTGTGCCGCCCACAGCACAGAAACAGCTCTGGTCAAAGTGACAAATGGCATTCTGCCCATCTGTGACCAGGGCTCCCTCTGCCTCCTCATCCTCCTTGACCTCTCTGCTGCTTTTGACACCGTCGACCACTCTATCCTCCTCCACCGCCTCTCCTCTCACCTCAACCCCCACAGCGCTGTCCCTGACTGGTTCAGATCGTACCTCTCACACCGTCTCCACTTTATCTCCACAAACCGCTTCTCCTCCAGCCCCCGGAATGTTTCATGCGGTGTCCCTCAGGGCTCTGTCCTCGGTCCCCTCCTCTTCACCCTCTATATGCTCCCTCTTGGTGACATCATCCGCAAACATGGGGTCAACTCCCACATGTATGCGGATGACACCCACCTCTCCCTCTCTGCCTCCCCCATTGACTCCAGGACCCACTGCTGTCCTGACAGAATGTTTGTCAGACATCAAGTCCTAGATGAGAGGTAACTTCCTGCAGTTGATCTTCAACAAGACCGAGATTCCTGATTGGCTCCCGTCAGTGCCTCCTCACCTCAGGCGCTGACAGCATCACTATCCACGGGGCTCACTCCTCCTCACTGAGCCGGTCCCAAACCTTGGTGTCTTGTTTGACCCTCAACTATCCTTTCTACCCCACATCTGCGGCATGACCCGCTCTGCCTTCCTCACCTCCACAATTCACCCGGCTCCGTCACTGTCTCACACCGCAGGCCGCCAAAAGCCTCATACACACCTTCATTACATTGAGGCTCGACTATGC